CATAATACTGGTTTACATGGAAAAATCCCCATTAAGTTGCATTATACTGGTTTACATGAAAAAAACCCTATTAAGTTGCATTATACTGGTTTACATGGAAAAATCCCTATTAAGTTCCATTATACTGGTTTACATGTAAAAAAAAACCCCTATTAAGTTGCATTATACTGGTTTACATGGAAAAATCCCCATTAAGTTGCATTATACTGGTTTACATGAAAAAAAAAACCCTATTAAGTTGCATTATACTGGTTTACATGGAAAAATCCCTATTAAGTTGCATAATACTGGTTTACATGTAAAAAACCCTATTAAGTTGCATTATACTGGTTTACATGTAAAAACCCCTATTAAGTTGCATTATACTGGTTTACATGGAAAAATCCCTATTAAGTTGCATTATACTGGTTTACATGGAAAAATCCCTATTAAGTTGCATTATACTGGTTTACATGGAAAAATCCCTATTAAGTTGCATTATACTGGTTTACATGGAAAAATCCCTATTAAGTTGCATTATACTGGTTTACATGGAAAAATCCCTATTAAGTTGCATTATACTGGTTTACATGTAAAAACCCCTATTAAGTTGCATTATACTGGTTTACATGGAAAAATCCCCATTAAGTTGCATTATACTGGTTTACATGAAAAAAAACCCTATTAAGTTGCATTATACTGGTTTACATTGAAAAAACCCTATTAAGTTGCATTATACTGGTTTACATGGAAAAATCCCTATTAAGTTGCATTATACTGGTTTACATGGAAAAATCCCTATTAGGTTGCATGATTACACTGAAGTCCTTGAAACTGCTGAAGTCCTTGAAACTGCTGAAGTCCTTTTCCCCCTCGTTCAACATCCAAAACCTCTGCCTCAGCCCACCCCGGCCCTAACCCATCACCAAAAACCCCTCCACCTCCCTGCCCCCCTCGTTCAACACCCAAAAGCCACCCACCTCTCCATCCTCCTCCCCCGCCTTCCCCTTCCCCTCTTTTCTCTAAACACTAGGATGCACAGGGTCTCTGCTTCGCAGCCACTGGCAGTCTAGTTAGAGGAGAGACCCGGCTGGGGCCCTGTCATGAAGCCACCTGTGCCATTCCCGTAGTGATAACACAAAGAATACATTACAGAAAAACATCTGAAGTTAATCAGTCTAATCTGGAAAATCTAATTCTTGTTCCGTGTAAGAATCAGCCGACCACAACCGCTGATACTGAAACTTTGAAACTTGCTACGCTTAATGTCAGATCTCTTTGTAACAAGTCTTTTTTAATCAATAATTTTATTTGTTCTCATAATCTTGATCTTATGTTCATGGCTGAAACTTGGCTTGACCAAAATTCAGGAAATGCAGTTTTAATAGAAGCATCTCCACCAAATTTCAAGTTTGAATCTGAAATACGGGAAAACAAAAAAGGAGGAGGCTTAGCTGCCATTTTCAGAGACCACTTTGTCTCCCATAGAATGTCTCTTGGAAAGTTTTCGTCTTTTGAATATGTGTCTTTTAAAATACAACAAAAACAATCTCCTCCAATACTCTTCATTGTCCTATACAAGCCACCGCAGTCATGTCACAGTTTTATTGATAATTTTACTGAGTTGCTTTCAGTTGTATGCACAGATTTTGATAGTTTGGTTATTACAGGTGATTTTAATATTCATGTGGATAATGTTGATGACAGAAATGCAAATGAGCTGAGTTCTGTACTTGAATCCTTTGATCTCACTCAGCACGTAAGTGGCCCCACCCACAGCAGAGGGCACACTCTAGATCTGTTAGTTACTAAGGGGGTGAATATTTCAAATGTAAACGTGGTCGATGTTGCTCTTTCGGATCATTTCTGTGTTTTTTTTGACATGTGTTTCACTAACAAACCACCAGTGGACTCTGCAACTGTACGAAGAAGACACATAAATGAAAATACGAGTGAACTATTTATGGGAATGATAAACTTTGAGAATGCATCGTATTCTACTGTAGATGAACTGTTTAACTCTGTCACCTCTAGTGTTTTGAATGTTCTGGATACCGTTGCCCCTGTGAAGGTTAAAATAGTGAAAAATAAGCAGAAGGCGCCGTGGGCTAAAGCAGACTCGGTCAGGGCACAAAAGAGAAAGTGCCGGAGGGCCGAGCGGAAGTGGCGCAAGTCCAACCTCCAGGTTGATTACGAGATCTTCAAAGATAAGTTGTGCGAGTTTAACCGGGTGCTACGTAGTACGAGAGAAAGGTATTTTTCTGAAATGATTGAAGGCTGCAGCAACAATCTGCGTGTTCTGTTTTCAACAGTTAATAGATTAACAAACCCCCCTGTTCAAATGCCATTAGAGCTTACTTCCAAACGTAAATGCAATGAGTTTGCAAATTTTTTCAATGACAAGGTTCAAGGCATCAAAAACGCCATTGTCTCCAATCCACAGATAACCATCCAACAGCCAGAAAGGCTCTCTGAGCTAACTCACTTTGCACCTGTAAATGATAAAACTGTCCAAGAGATAATCTCCAGTCTGAGCGCCTCCACATGCAGCTTGGATGTACTACCCACTAGATTTCTGAAGTCTGTTCTGAGCAGTCTGTTACCTTCACTCACACAGATAGTAAACATGTCCCTTCATTCTGGAATATTCCCAAAGGCCCTGAAAACTGCAGTCATCAGGCCCCTGCTAAAAAAGAGCAGTCTCGATGCTACGGTACTTAACAACTATCGTCCCATCTCAAATCTGCCATTTATGGGGAAAGTCCTTGAAAAAGTTGTCTACCTACAGCTTACTAGATTTCTTATAATCAACAACTCATTTGATATGTTTCAGTCCGGCTTTAGACCCCACCACAGCACTGAGACTGCTCTCGTCAAGGTTACAAACGATATCCGGCTGAACACTGACGCAGGCAAAGTCTCAATCTTAATCTTGTTAGATCTAAGTGCTGCCTTTGACACCGTCGACCATGAGATCCTCTTACAGAGATTAGAGGACTGGGTTGGAGTCGCTGGCACCGCCCTAAGTTGGTTTAGGTCTTACCTTGAGGACAGGAAGTACTTTGTGGAGATTGGAAACTGTGTCTCAGATCATATGGCCCTGACCTGTGGAGTACCACAGGGGTCGATCCTGGGACCTCTTCTGTTCAATCTCTACATGCTGCCGTTAGGTCAGTTAATACGCAGAAACGAAGTTTCCTATCATAACTATGCAGACGACACTCAGATCTATGTCTCACTGACTGCAGGAGAACATGGACCAGTGGACTCACTCCTTCACTGTATCCAACAGATCAGTGAGTGGATGCAAAACAACTTCCTTCAGCTAAACGCAGACAAAACTGAAATGATTGTCTTTGGTCCCCAGAAACAAAGAGAGAGCGTCATCTGTCACCTACAGTCTCTCTCCCTAAAACCTTCAAACAAGGTCAGAAATCTAGGGGTAATACTGGACTCAGACTTAAATTTTAATAGCCACATCAAATCAGTAACATCAGCAGCTTTTTACCATCTAAAAAACATTGCCAGGATCAAAAACATAGTGTCTAAAGCAGACTTGGAGATCCTTATCCATGCATTTGTCTCCAGTAGGTTAGACTACTGCAATGGCCTGCTCACAGGTCTGTCCAAACAGGCTGTAAAACAGCTGCAGTACATTCAAAATGCAGCAGCTCGAGTCCTGACAAGAACCAGGAAGTACGACCACATTAGTCCAGTCCTCAGGTCTCTGCACTGGCTTCCTGTGGCTCAGAGAATAGACTTTAAAACAGCTCTGCTTGTGTACAAGTCTCTCCATGGCCTCGCACCAAAATATATTAGTGACATGTTAGTCCCATATGAACCAGCCCGGACTCTGAGGAGCACAGGGACTGGACTCCTGTTAGTGCCCAGAGTCAGAACTAAACATGGGGAGGCTGCTTTTCAGATTCATGCTGCTAAAATCTGGAACAGTCTTCCTGGAGATGTGAGACAGGCCTCCTCTCTGACAATGTTTAAAGCCAGGTTAAAGACAGTTCTGTTTAGCTGTGCATACAACTGAGGGATTTTATATTTGTATCTTTCTTTTTAATGTTCTGTGATTATTTATGATTTTAATGCTTTCTTGTTTTGTTCAGCACTTTGAATTGCCTTGTGTATGAATTGTGCTATATAAATAAACTTGCCTTGCCTTGCCTTGCCTTGCCTAGATATCGAACCAACACCAACTGGATGCACTCCGTGTTATCCTGGTTAAAAGTCAAAGAAAGACTGAAAGTCACATTAATTAATTTAACAAGAAATATAATTTTAACCAAAATGTCCAATGTTCTCCATAAAGAGTTGAGTTTCAGTGCAGAAGGCCATCATTATCAAACCAGACATGCAAGTGAGGGTAAGTTCAATCTGCCCAAAGTAAAAACAAATTATGGAAAGAATACCATCACATACAGATCCATGTGTGTTTGGAACAGTCTGCCCTCCGATATCATGAACGAAAATAATAAATATCAATTCAAATTGAAATTGAAAAGACTTTTCCTAAACATTGGCGCAGTGGATGCTTAAATGTTGTAATACCTAGGTGTGTATTTCATGTTTTCTTTTTCATGGATATTACATTTAAATGTTACATTTAAATCTTGCTGTCCACTGTTACTGAGATCGCATTCATACTAACCAGGTCCTGTGTGTGTGCGTGTGTGTGTGAAAGTGAGTGGATGTTTATGTAAGTTGAATTTTGTTAGTATTATTTGTTTTGTTGTATTCTGTGTTCTGTTTTTGTGTTTTTAATGTAATAATTTCTATTTCTCATATGTGACGCCAAGGAGCGAAATGTTTTCGCACCACAATGCATCTAATCATCTTTATTTAGGGGTTATTAATGCTTTTATAAAGTTATGATTCATTCCAATAGTGCCTTTCAGTGCTTCTCTAAATCACAACCACAGTGTCATATTCACCCATACACATTTTGGAAATGAATTGTAATCCATCATGCATTGGGTAACTTTACTTTTGAATAGTCGAATCTCACAACAATTTTATTTTAAAGAGAACTGATTGGCCAAACACAGTGTGTCTACAGGACACCTCAGAGTCGCCTGCTGCACAAACAGCATAAAACACCTAATTACACCCACTTTGCATGCAGATGGGATCACTTTTTATGCTGACGAAATAACTTTATATGTAATTGGTGTATCTTTATGCAATGCGTGTGTGTGTATCCATGCGTGTGTTGGCTTTTGTGTCCTGAATATTCATGTCATGAATATCATGAATATTGAATATCATGAATATTTGTCATGAATATTTGTTTACAGGGTTGTCAGATTTGACCAACCAGACTAAAGAGTCCCATGTAAAAAATAAAGAACACTGTCAAGCCAAAGATAAAAAATAAAAATAAAAAGTTTACAGTGCATTCAGGACAAATGATGAAAGATGAATTGGAATAACTTTTTTCCTTGGGTGCTGCAGAGGTAGTATATCTCTTGCTTTTAAGTTGATGCTTCAGGCATCCGTGTTTCCATAATCAATAGTATTTATCCTAGAGTGAAACGAGAGGTACTCGCCCGCTGACACATATGTGAAAATCCAATCATAATTCTTGAATTGCGCCCATAGCTTCAGGCGTGAGATAAAGGGAAGACGTGATGTTGTGAGATTGAAAATGGAGACAAGCGTCACAGATGAGTGAACAGAGGGACGGGCGCAGGCCAGGAGCAGGAGCTGCAGCTGGATGAGACTGTTTAGTGACAGGCAGGACCACTTCTGGGACTCATGGAAAAAAACACATTTATTTATTTAACTGAGATTATATTTGTTACGCACCACGCTTGAAATTTAAAAAGACGATAATGTGTGGCAAACTCAAGGGCACTGCAGGTAATAGGAGCACCTAGTGGTCTAATAAAGTCATTACAATCACCATCTGACTTTTGCTGCTGTACCTAGAGGGGTTTAGCTATCAACCGTATACAACTCTGTGTATTATCTACATTAACTACTTATTTTTGCATCTGCTTTCATTTATGCACATTTGCTGTGCTTGTTTGTTTGTTTCGTAGATTTTGTTGAAGTCAAAAGACATCAATACTATGGACATCATGTACATTGTCAATTCTAATTAGGAATAACCCGGTTTAAACTTTTGTTCATAAAAGGTCAAGTATGATTAGTGCATATCCATTATTATCTGTGGAAACAAAATATTACATACAGCCCCTTTAACACTTAAGCTGTTTTTCACTTTTTTTTGGAGGAACTGTCCAGCCATTCAATCAATCAATCAACGTTTATTTATAGAGCGCCTTTCCTACACAAGGCAACGCAAAGCGCCTCACAACCCATATAACATCATGCATAAATCATCAAACATTAGAATTTAAGTAAACATAAAAGGACAGATTAAGAGCACAAGATATATAAAATCACACAAGTAGTTAAAAACCGTAAAACATTAAAATCACACAAGGGATTAAAATCATAAATAATCATAAATAATCATAGTGCATTAAAAAGATTAAAGATAAAAACAAATATAAAATCATTCACTTGTATGCACAGCTAAAAAGAACTGTTTTCAGTTCAGTTTTAAAAACTGCTAGAGTAGACGCCTGTCTCACACTCTCGGAAAGACGGTTCCAGACTCTAGCTGCATGAATCTGAAACGCAGCCTCCCCATGTCTAGTTCCGACTCTTGGCACTAACAGAAGTCCAGTCCCTGTGCTCCTCAGAGCCCGAGTTGGTTCATATGGCACCAACATGTCGCGGATGTACCCTGGTGCGAGGCCATGGAGAGACTTGTACACAAGTAAAGCTACTTTAGATTCTATTCTCTGAGCCACAGGAAGCCATTGCCACTTCACGATAACACAATAACCATCCAAATATACAACAATCTGTTCTTCTCTACCTTTTGATCAGAATTTTGACAACAGAGAAACTGGCTCTAAATACAATACACAACATTCCCTTTTCACAAATTTTAAAGTATGTGTAAAATCCAATGTGCCATATTTTTACGTTTTTAGGAAGTAACAAACCCAGTGCTATATGTGAGTGATAATGAGATGGTAATGAGACAGATGAGCTCTAGCACAGCTCTGTTCCCTCAGGTGTGCCCCTCTCATTAACTTATCTGCAGACTGACAAGCAGAGGGGACACATAACACACAGGCTGGGCTGGAAAAAAACACTGCTGGATCAACAGAAGGGGTTGAGAAAGTCTAATACATGCTGTAAGACAAATGTGTTAATGGATATTGCGTTTATATTATTATTCTAAGTGACACTGATATGCAAGTGAGATGCAAAGGGAACAATGGAGGTCTGATAGTCAAAGTATTGTCCTTGGATTATAATATATATGAGGTCTGCAGGCTCACAGTGATTTATTTATCTACACCTATGGACATCATCATTAGATTCTTTTTGTGTAGGTAAATTCAACGGTTGTGTAAAGTTCTCCGAGATAACTACTGTTGTGAGTTAAAGCTACACAAGAATACATTGAATTAAATTGTTTTTTTTAAAGACATTTCAGTGTATTTTATCCAATTGAATTTGTTTAAGGCAAAATAAAAATTAAAATATGTACCTTAAACTCAGTCTCGATGTTGGCGAGTCTTGCTAGCTCGTTGCTTAGCTCCAGGGCGGTAAGCACGGGGTCCTCACTGCTTAGGGCCAGGTAGGCAGCACTGGCCAGTCCTTTATAGGCGTTCATCCTGGAGCGGGAGTGACTAAACGAGTCCTTCTTCTGCTTGTCCAGGCATTCGTCACACTTACAGAAGTAGTCGTGGGGCCTCTCTATGCGGGCGCCTTTAGTCAACAGGATGTGCACAATCTCGTATTCCTGACAGTGAGCCGCCAGGATTATCGGGGTGATGTCATGGGAAAACCGTGTCCCATCTTCATCATAGGCGTAAAAGTCATCGTCACGCATTTCCTGCTCTATAGGGCACACCGCCAGACGTAGCCCCCCACCAAACGCTGAGTGTGCTAATATCGCCTCCACAATGCGGACGTATCCTTTTGAAATAGCTAAGAGTAAGCCGTCACCTATTCTCGCCAGGCCGTCTTTCTTTAGCAAAAGTTCTGTGACTTCCAGATGCTCATTCCCAACCGCCAGCTGCAATGCATTCTGACCCATATAGTCCACACAGTTGAAGTTGAGGGTTTTGGACTCATCCAGCATTTTACGAACTACCGGGATGTTTCCATATTCAGCAGCATCCAGGAAACGCTCCTCTTCTGCAGTGAGCGCCGACCCTCGCTCGTTGAACATGTAGGCCGGACCTCGCACAGCCTGGCGACGCCCTTTCTCCCGCAGAGTTGTGTGCCTCCGGTGCATGGCCTCCACCCTGCAAATGGAAAGACACATCCGTTACCAAAGGCTAATAGGATGGAGGGAGTGCAAAGTGACATATAGTAACAGAGCCCTCAAGCGGAAAGAACAGCAAGATCATTAGAATCTATGACAATAAGCTTAACGAGAAAATTAACTAATTACCATTACTTAGTTTGTGATGGATGAAGAACCAACAGAGAAACTGAGACACATCTAGAGGGCAGCTGATGTAATGACTCTGCCCCGGTAAGATCAATGCTCAACAATATGGGTAAAAGCTCAAAGCAGGGCCATTCTAGGTCCGCATCGGATTGACAGAAGGAAATTTAGGCTTTTGGCTTAACAGAAATCAGATTGACAAACTTGCGTGAGTGTCCACCTAAAGTCAGTAATTCATGGAAATCTGTGGGAGTGTCCTTTGTGGGATTGTCCATAACACACAGGTTGAGCTTGGTTGTTTAGTTTTCCTCTTACAGAAAACAGGCTGTAAGAATGATCAACAGAAGTTGGACGTTTACACAATACTAAACAAAGCAGATATTCAGTAAAGATAAGACTTGTCCTATGCACAAAGCAGATCAAAACATTGTGCCTGAAAATATCCAAAACATATTCACTGATAGAAAGTCCTCAAAAGCCCTAAAGAAACCCAGATTCAGAACAGCAATCAACTTCTATGTAAGTATTTAAGAGAAGGTTTTGAGTTGGCATAGATATGTTTCGTGTCTTCAATTTCCTGACACAATAAATGCAATGTGAATGTATTGCATGTAAAGTAAGATAACAGCTTCTAGAAATACATTTAAGTTTGAATTGCAAAATATGTGGTGTGGAAAGAGGCCAGATCAAATGTTTTCAATCGTGTTGAATGAAAAAGGAGCAGGATTCTTCTCATATTGACTGATCTCAATTTCCGATTCTTCTTCTTTTATGTTCCCAAAAAAATTTAAAAACATGTTTATATCACAAACTTATTCAACTGTGCATAATATTAAGGCCAATGACTGTGAAAGGACACTGAGTGAGGAAAATTCATACTGACTGTCTCTTAAAAAGTAAAAGTAAAAATGGGACATTTTGTTTAATTTGTTTTTAGTTTTCCGCAGATATATAGGCATAGTTTTCTCTCCAAGCTATACCCGATTTTTTCTAATTAGTTCATAAAAATGCTTATTACTACATATAAGTTGTACTATAATCCGTAATTTAATTGAAAACTTGAGCTCATTGATTCAGCTTATATATAATGTATAAATTCAGGTCATAAAAAGTAATGAGTATAGTCTTAGCGGGACGCTCATTCTCCTCCACTCACAGAACGAGCAGCGAGCAGCCTGCGTCCTCTAGCCTCTACAGCGCTGCTTAACACTAGGGCTTTGACTTCGACATTTTTATGTAATTCGAAAATTAAAATAAACATATATTCGAACGAATATTAGACAGCCCTTATAATTCGAAATGTATTTAATGACTGCAAATAAAATAGTTAGTCCTCAAGGGTTTCACCGTGACGTACTAGGCGGGTAACAGCTAAGCTAGCTAGTTCAAAAACTCTCTGGAACTATATGAAAACCGAACAAAGAATTCTGAACATCAGCGGTGAGTTACCCATTTATACACCGAACCTAAATCCATAATCAGATCCTCTTCAAATGTGTCCTTAAATGTTCGTGAATGGTTACCTACTTCCGGGTCTATCGCAATCGCTTTTTGTAACATTCAGATGTTTTTAGATATTAAGTTATTTTTGTCATGAAACCATAAACACATAATTCTGAAAACCTCTGTGCATGTGTTTTAAGGATGTATATATATAATTTATTCTCAGATTAACATTTATAGGTGTTGATTGATTGATTGGTATTTGTTTTTTTCAGCGTGGCTAGCTCGGCTAGCTCTGCTAGCTTCTCTGCACAGACAGAAGTAGTGACAGTGGCTTGTTGTACTTGCGGAGTAATGTTAGTATTTTACACACCTGAATTACAAACAGAGATTGCATTGCCAAAGAGCAGCGGTCATTATTGGTTTGAGAGTTCTGTTATCAAGAAAAAATGATCAGTAGAATGTTTTGAAATTACATTCAAATCAATGGAGTATTCTGCTGCTGCTGTGAGGAGCTGTATGATAAATTATAATTCAATATTCGAATATGCTAATGTTTAAATTATTACATGAGGTGAGAATGTTTTTCTGATGCTCCGACAAAAAGGCAAAAGTGGACTGAAGTTGGAGCTTTGCGACCGGTTTCTTCCATAACACTTTTTAGCTAAATCCAAACATTTCATATGAAGTATGAATATAATATAGTGCCACAGGGGTCGTAGATCAATTTATACAGAACAGAAGCTAAGTCCCTTACCTTGTTACAGCCACATTATTGGGGTCAACTTTGATACAGCCAACACATTAGGCCAACTACCAATGTTGAGATCTTTAATTTTAAAGCAGAAAACGTGGGCTGAATGGTTACTTCAAAACCCACAGTCTTGGTTGATCCCAAAACCATTATTAGCTCAGTGCTCTAACATCCACTAATGGCAACTGCTGTCACAGCTTGAGATCGATGAGGTACAACACATGTATGATGCCACAGGTGCCACAGATGCCAAGGTCAGAGGGGAGATCCCACCAACACCAACTCCCCAACCGGATATGGGGTACAGAGCCCTAATGGAACTAATAACACTGAACGAGGCAGCACCTGACCTGATAGCTAATATCATAAGAATGGGCACAGACACAGGTTACAGCTGTAGTGTGAAATACCACCTGAATGCATGAATTCAGCAGTGAGGGCGATACCGACCACCGTATTCACTGAAACCAATGAGCTGATATACACTTCAGCAGCAGTGATCCTAGAGATCCTTGGCTATAAGAGCAATCATGGGAGCCATGAGAAATCATAGCCACCATGGAACTTAGGTTGTAGGCTAAGAGCAAGGCTGCTCGGAGAGTGAGTCCCAAAGGGATGGCTCAGTGGCAGTGTAACAACAGGGTAGCAGACCCACCAAGGCTGGAAACTGAATAATTCTGGAAGAGCATGTGGTAGAATAAGGCACCTCCCAGAACAGAACTCAGTTACCATCACAGAGGCAGACATCCGAGAAAGAGGCTCAGGTATGAAAAACTGGACGGCACCTGGCCCTGATATGGTCCATGCCTACCGGCTAAGGACACTCACATCACTCCATAGGCACCTAGCAGAACAAATGAACCAGCTGCTGAGAGATGGGACTCACCTAGAATGGTTAGCCGAAGGGCAAACGGTCCTGATCATGAAGGACCCTGTGAAGGGATCAGTCCCCTCCAACTACCGGCCAATAACCTGTCCCTCCACAATATGGTAGGGCAAATGGAACAATTCATGAGCACAGCACAGAACATCATTGGTAGAGATACCAGAGGAGCCAAACACCAGCTACTGGTTGACAGAACAGTTGCCAAAGACTGCCGGTCACCAACCTGTGCACTACCCGGATTCATTACCAGAGCCGACGACTCTATGCCCCACACATGGATCATGTGTGTCACACATGGATTTTGATGCAAACTCAATGGGGATGTGACCACCCTGGAGGCAAAGCTGCTCGCACAAGTGACCATCAAATGTGGTGTCTACCAAGGATAGATACCCCACTGCTGTTCTGCATAGACCTGAACCCTCTAGGCCAAATAATCGACCAGACTGGCTATGGATACCGCCTCAGGAATGGAGCAAAGATCAGTCACCTACTCTACACAATAGGAATGACCTTGTATCAATTTTCTGTTCAGTTTTAAAATTCTCAATATCAATGAAATCTATCTAAGAGCTGATACTTGATCACAATGTCTATGGACGCACACACACACATTTGTGTGAAAAATATACAGCCTTATTCAGCCGATTTCATTATGCAATATTTTAGCAAGGCAAAGCAATAGAAAACTCAACTAAGTCACAAGGATTCTAATCAAAATTGTCTTGTTGTCTGAACAACATTCAACAGAACTATATCTAAAACGTACAGTATTCTGAGAGCCCCTTCTGAGGCCATGTGTGAGGTCTGTGCAAAAGCTGGACAGAGAAAGTAGAAAGGTGAAAATGGAAATGCATTCATGGTGAAAATATTCCCCCTGGGTGTTGGAGGATGGAGGAAGTGAGAAGAAGAGAAGGGCTGGCCACTGCAGGGGGAGGAGGCCAGAACGGCAGTGTCACAGTGTTGTTGGTCTTCAACTCAATGGGGATAAAAGGGATTTACACAATAAGAATAATTTCCCCTGCGCTGTCAATCAAAGGCATAGTGGCCCTGGTACTCAGTAATGAACACGCAGCAAGAAAGCAGTATACTGACAGAGATAAATATATACAGCACATTTTCATAATTATTTCACACAAACAACCAACAGTCTGATGGGGAAATTCAAAACTGTATATAACAAAAATCAACATCTATTTTTGTAGTTTCAAATTGCCATCATAGCCAAAGATAAGTTAAAATATGCATATTATTGACGCATGGCCACCCCACACTGTATGTAAGATAAGCAGCTGATGAGGGCCCCGAGGTCACAAGAGGATCCCAATCTGGCAACCCGGTGCTGGCCAAAAGCCATGTGTTTCTGCTGCCGCGTGAGAAGGTGGACCTTAGAGTTCAGCCCTCACACTGCAGTTTTGGCTCTTTACAATTTAACTCCTGCTTGGCTACAACAGGAGGGGATTATGAGCGTGAATGAATGTGTTTAATGCAGAAACTGCAGTGAGATTAAAAGTAAGAAGCGATTCAGAGAAGGAGATGGAAGAGCGTTGGAAAAGAACATGGGTGTCAAAGTCAAGGCCATATTCGGCCCGAACGAATCTTGGCCCCTATGATTATATTTGATTAGTAGTATTAGAACCGGCTCGTTCAGAGATAAATCAATGATACAATTAATAATTCATCAATAATTCATCAATACTTTGCTAATGTTCTTCATGTTCAGGACATTTCTTTTTGAAAAAAGGTGTCTGTGAACCTGTTGAAAAAAGCT